TGGTACGCTGCTCCCCTCGCTTCCCGGCACTCCCGAGCTGCTGCCTGGCTCAGCTCCGTCGCTGGTGCCACGGGCATTGCCCGAGGTGGATTTGCCTGGAGCTGACGGGAGAGGTGCAGTCTCTCACTTCCAGCACACAAAATTTTGTGCTTCTTTATTCCACGGCTCTTCTGCAGCCGACGGGCTCACCCCTGCGTCTCTGGGCTGCTTTGGCACCGCCTGGTGTGAGGCTTTAGGAAGACCTAACGCTGTGTGGTAGAAAAACCGCACGTCAGGAACAGAAGAGAACGGCAGAAATTAAGGGCATGAGCTGATAAAGTCTGGAGTGAATCAGGGTAAAAAGGAAATTTCAGAATCTGTCACAGCTGAGGTGACTCTGCAGTAGTCATTAGAGAGAGCGTCCGGTTGCCACTTAATGAGGAGGCAGGTGCCCATCTGCGTTACGGACTTCTGCTCACTCAGAGACGAGAATAAGTGAGGGAGATTGGAAGCCCAAGAAAACAACGTGAATGGACAGGAAAAACAGGAGGAGGTTAAAGAAGCCATTTAGACAGAGAGTTATGTTAGAAACCTGCAGATCAGAACACAAATATTCAGTCTGAGCTGGGGAACGTTCCAGAGCCTGGCAGAGGGCAGGGAGGAGCGGTGCTGGGCTGCCGGTCGGTGCCCGCTGGGCGGGCAGAGGGACAGCAGTTTTCCTGCCTGGGCTCTGCATTCGGCATCCTGAGGGTAGCGGGGTTGAAAGAAAGCTCAGCTCCACTTGGAGAAGCTGCTTTGCACAAAGCTCCACACCGATTTCACGGTGCTGCGGCGTGGGGGACGGAGGAAGAAGTGGCTCATCATGGGAGGTGGTTTGCTGTTCAGAGAGGGCAACAAAGCCCTCTCCAGCCTGGTCTCCGTGGCTGGGATTGTTCCGGGGCCTCGCCGTGGAGGGAACACCCATTTCCAGTCCAGGCGGCTGTTCCCAGCTAGCAGATTGGCAGTCATTTAGAAAAACTGTTAGCGGTTGGCAACTAATAGTCCCCATCATTTCTCCCTCTGGCGGAAATGGGCATAAACATCGTTGGGACGGTGTCGGGGCTGGCGGGAGTGTCCTCAGCACTGCCTCGGCAGCTGCGCGTAAGGGCTTTCGAGCATCTGGGCGTCGCTGCTGAAGACGACGACCGTTCCCGCTGAGACTGAGAGAAG